GTTCTGTGAACTGAGAAAGTTTAGGAACCTCTGAGGTAGAACATTCCAGGCAGCACAAGTAGTAAGTGTTAAGATTGGAAGATAGAATAAGCCTACACACATCAGCTTAACTCAGCTTTTCCCCTTTGGTGACAGTATTTTCAAAAGCGCTATTATCTTTAGTTTGGTCTATACATAACTGAGATCCTAAATGTGTGTGTGTGTGTGTGTGTGTGTGTGTGGTTTATGTGTGTTACTTGCTTTTTAAAAGAAATGATTCTGTGTTATTTCCTGAAAATTCCCAATCACTACAAACATTTTTTTAATTTTAGCTATAATGTTCTCTTTATTACTTTATTACTTTAAACTCCAAAAAAAAAAAATCGTTCTTTCTCTAAAATTCCATGCTTGAAGACTTTTTGATCAGGCTAGAATTTGGAGACTCCAGTTTGGTATTTAGGACGAGGATGATACCTGTTTTTGAATGAACAGGAATTGATCATAGAAAGGTGAAATAAGAAGCCCACCTAATGGGGCATGGCTTTGGGTTCAGTGATGGAGATATTGTCTAGGTGAGGTCTAGGATTAGAAGCAGGATGTTTCAACATACTCAGAGAAGCTTGTTCTCTTGTGTATGTACTTATGTTATGCAAAATCATACAAGATGCATTTTTAAACCTGAATGACAATTTCCTTTCCTGTGATTGGAATGCTTTTGACCCATTTCCAAGGATTCCACTTTAGAGTCAAGGTAACCAAGAAGTTGATGAGTAATTACAAGGTTGCCTAGTGACCACTGAAAAACAAAAAGGAAAATACACTGTCTAAAAAGAATAATTGCTATTTTAAGTAACTTCTTAGAAGGCCACCTACAACAATTCATTTGTTTTATGCTGGAATTATTTGTACCTCTTGGGTGTAGGGTTTCTCTCTTTCTCTCTATTAAATTCAGAGATCTGTTTGTAGGGCACCCACACAATGACCATTTTCTTAACCCTATTTTCCTTTGCTTAGCAGCCCATCTTTGTTGATACACTCTTTATTTTTTTTTAATGTAGTGTTCCATGATTCATTATTTGCATATAACACCCAGTGCTCCAGGCAGAACGTGCCCTCTTTAATACCCATCACCAGGCTAACCCATCCTCCCACCCCCCCTCCCCTCCAGAACCCTCAGTCTGTTTTTCAGAGTCCATCGTCTCTCATGGTTCATCTCCCCCTCCGATTTCCACCCCTTCATTCTTCCCCTCCTGCTATCATCATCTTCTTCTTCTTCTTCTTCTTGTTTTTCTTCTTCTTGTTCTTCTTCTTTTTAACATATAATGTATTAATTTTTTTCAGAGGTACAGATCTGTGATTCAACAGTCTTGCACAATTCACAGCGCTCACCATAGCACATACCCTTCCCAATGTCTATCACCCAGCCGCCCTATCCCTCCCCTTCCCCACCACCCCAGCTACCCTCAGTTTGTTTCCTGAGAGGAAAGAATAAAGAATTAAGAATTAAGAATTCCTCATATCAGTGAGGTCATATGATACCTGTCTTTCTCTGATTGACTTATTTCGCTCAGCATAACACCCTTCAGTTCCACCCACGTCATTGCAAATGGCAAGATTTTATTCCTTTCGATGGCTGCATAATATTCCATTGTATATATATACCACATCTTCTTTCCATTCATCTGTGGACACACTCTTTAAACATGCAAATATACAGCTTATTGACCCAGTTAGCCTGGGACCTATTAGCTGGGAGCGTTCCTGTTAGCCTGGGAGACATTCTGTCTCCTGTCGGTATGTAATGATTTAATCAGATAAAAACTCAAGCTTCTACTAGGACCATTCTACTCTGCCCGAGTGTCACTGCTTTCTTATACATTTTCTCTGAAATACTGTATCTATAGATATCATCTTTTTTCCTGTAAATGATAGTGTATTAAATACTCTGAACTGTTTTTCTTTTTTTTTCTTTTTTTAACTTATTTTATTTAAATTCAATTAGTTAACATATACCGTATCATTAGTTTCAGATGTAGAGTTCAGTAATTCATCAGTTGCATATAACGCCCAGTGCTCATTACAACCCATGCCCTCATTAATGCCCATCACCTAGTTACCCCATCCCCCCACCCATCTCTCCTCTAGCAACCTTCAGTTTGTTTCCTAGAGTTAAGAGTCTCTTACAGTTTGCCTCCGTCTCTGATTTCATCTTATTTTATTTTCCCTCCCTTCCCCTATGATCCTCTGTTTTGTTTCTGAAATTCCACTGTTTTTCTTTTTTAGTTAACATTTTTGAGATTGTTTTATATTATTAAGTATCACTTTGCCTTATTCCTCTTAATGGCTACAGAGAATTCCATTGTTTGGATGAATAATAATTTAGGTAATTAGTCCTATTTTAAGAAACATTTAGGTTGTTTCAGTCTTAAATTTTTGGTGTACACCTATAAGACTATCAGAGGACAAATTCCTAGAAGTGGAATTCCTAGGTTAATTAGGTTGTGCATTCCAAGTATTGATAGATATTGGCAAATTTCCCATCAGAGAGACTGTATCAAACTACACCAATAATTTGAGAAAGTGTTGGTTTTCCTAATCCATCATCAATACTGTTATCAAACTGTTTATTCTAAAAAATGGCATCTTATTATAGTTTAAAATGGAATTTCTTTTAAAATGAGTGAATTTGAGCATATGTTTATATGTTCAAAACCATTTGTTTTTCTTGTCTAAGTCAACAAACACTTAATGATGGCCTACACCATGCATAATTGTTATGCTCCTTATTGGAGATACGGTGATAAACAATATATAGCCTCCACAGACCTATGGGAGAGACAGACCAATGACCAACTGTTACAGTGGTCAAAGTTTAGTATAATGGTATAATGGGAACCTGTTGGAGGCACACCCATCACAGTCCAGAAGGAGATCAATGGGGCTTCTAGTGGGAAGAGACTTGTAAACTCAAATCTAAGGCAGGTATAGTCGTTAGCTAGGCAAACACTAGGGATGGGAAGAACATGGGAAAGGAGGCAGCAGACCTATGTGTGTAGAGATGGGAACAGAAAGCACCTGGGACTTGTGCATAGTCCAGTTCAGAGTGGCACTGTCAGGATAGGAGGAAGGGGAGGTGGCAGGGTGGGCCCTCCACCCACTAATGTGGCCTTGGAAATCAGTTCAGGGGTTGTTTGAACTTTGCCATGACAGTATGATGTAACTGGAAGATTTTCTGATAGAGGATAACATAGCAGAAGTATCTTAGGGGTTGAGCTAGAGAATTGATTGGAGAAGGTATGGTGAGCATTTAGGAGGCTGTCCAGTAATTCAGGGAAGATGATGTTTCCTTGGTCTTAGAGATACACTAGATATTCGTAGATCTCCTTTAACATTACTATGGAAGCACTGAATTCTCCCAGTCCCCTCTGAAGGTGAGGTACACTGCACAAGTGTGAAGAGCAACCACCCAGAACCAGACAGCCTGGGTATGATTCGTGGCTGTGCCAGTTTCTAGTTGCATGAGTCTGAGCAATGGGGGAAGTTACTAACATTTGAGGGGTGCTGTGAAGATGTAGAGAGAGGTATGTGAAGCACTTAGCACATCACTTGTCTTATAAAAATGAAGGCTTAATAACCACTAGCTGTTTTTATCATTTTTAGTATTACCTGCCCTCATTCCACTCTAGAAATGTCCTGATCTTTGGCTTATTATAATGTGCATATGGAGAGAATTACAGAATTTGGAATTTCGGAGAGATTTGAGATCTCTTGTTCAATCTCCTAATTCTAGTTATGAGAAAATAAAGGGGAAAAAAAATCAAACAATCGTTTGTGGTTGCACAGTGCCGACCTGAAATTCCTCACTGGTTTGGTTCTTTTAACACAGGTACATGTAGGTATATATTTTGGTTACTACACTTAGCCTTTAGTATGGATCTTTCTCCTCTTTGTTGACAGCAGCGATTTCTTGGGTGGAAACTCCAATTTGGAAAAACAATCTGGCTTACACACTTTGTAGTGCATCATTCAAACCCCATAGAGCTTTGGGTAATCTTAGAAAGAAAAACTCAGAGTGAAGTGGATGACTAAATCTGTAGATACTGCAAGCTTGGGCTGTTTTTTAGCAGTGGGGGCTGACGTGGTTCAAAGCCCCTCCTTGGGTGAGCTCCTCCTCCTCTCCTGGCTCGACCGGGCAAAAGCACCCTGCGCTCCCATCCTCACTTTTGCCTCCTGGATTCTCTCAGCTTTTCCGTTTCCCTGGGGCCCCTGCCATTCCATTCAGTCGAATTAACAGCTGTTAAGGAAGAGCCTGCTACGTGTAAGGAAGACTCTGGGCTGGCTGGGGGATGCAGGCATGAAGGGGTCCCAGCCCTTGCCCAGAGAGAAAGGAGGGAGGCGCTTCGTCTGTATCTTAAACTTGACATCGCCGTCACCGCTTACTTTACCCTGCGCACGAATTCTCTCCCGGGTTCGCACCGAACACGCTCCTACATCCCCCAAAGGTTTCCCGCCTGGGGCGGCTCCTGCCTGGCTCGAGCTCCGCACAAGCCGCGAGCGGTGGCGGAGAGAATGCCGCCCGGGGCATCGGGCATTGGACACCAGGGCCCTGGGACCAAGGTGGGCGCTACCGCTCAAGGGCTGACTGCCTGGGCAGGGCACCTCGCCCGTCCCGGTCCCAGCCGTCTCGTGTATTAACCAGGGCGCGGCACGCTTCCCTCTGAGTTTCCCTCCCGGGCTCCCCTCTCCCGATGTCTGGGTTCGTGCCCCGCGCCCCGCGCCCGGGCGGGCGGCTCCTCGTCCCCTCCCTCAGTCCTCCTCTCCCGCAGCCCGACGCCTCAGGGCAGAGTTCAGGGTCAGCTCTGGCTCGTGCCCCCGATTTAGGAAAAGGCCAGGGGGGCTGGAGCGCGCGGGTTGGCAGAGGGGAGGCAGAGGGGGGCGGAGGGAGGTGGCCTCTGATTGGTCGGGGAGGGGGAGTGGAGGCACGGAGTTTCCCACAATGCCCCGGTGCGGTGCAGCCGCGGATGGATGCTGCGGGAAGGGGCTGCCATTTGCTGCCCCTGCCAGCGGCGCGCGGACCTGCTCGCTCTCCTGCAGTGGCGGCCGCCGCCCGCGCCGTCAGCCGGCCGGGCCTCCGCAGCGCCGCCGCCTCGGCTCCCTGCGCGGCCGCCGGAGCGGTCGCCATGAACCCCAGCTCCTCGGCGGGAGAGGAGAAGGGGGCGACGGGCGGCGGCAGCAGCAGCGGAAGCGGCGCCGGGAGCTGCTGCCTGGGCGCCGAGGGCGGCGCGGACCCGCGGGGCGCGGGGGCAGCGGCGGCGGTGGGGGCCGCTGCCCTGGAAGAGCCCGCGGCCGCCGGCCCGAAGGAGAAGGACGAGGCGCTGGAGGAGAAGCTGAGGAACTTAACTTTCCGGAAGCAGGTCTCTTACAGGTAGGCGCGGGAGCCGAGGCGGCGGGGAGACAGGTGCAGCCGCGGGGCTGAGACCCGCTCTTGCCCCTCACCGAGGCGCTTCCCCGGAGTTGGGGGCACCTGGCGCGCTCTCCCTCTCGCTCGCTCTCTCGCTCTCTCTTCCTCTCTCCCCTTTGTGGGGAGATGTATTTTCTTCTCATCCCAGCATTCTGGGCTGGAGGGAAGCTAGGTGCGCCCGGTTTCCCTCTGGAACAGGACAGAAGACTGGGTCCCTGAGGTCAGAACAACAACAAAAAATGCGTGTGTGCGCCGGAGCGGGGGCGGGGGCGGGGTGCAGGCACAGATGGAGATGCCTAGTTTTCTTGAGAGAAGTCTTCAAAGTTGTCCCTAAGCCGGTGTCATCTATAACCACTCCCCCTACCTTCTAGATTTCCTTGGATGAACCTTTGGCACTAACTTGATAGCTGAGATCGCCCTACGGGCAGGATAGAACAGCACGGTCCTGAAGAGAAATCCTTACGGGAAGTTGGCCCTGCACCGAAATCTCCCATGAAGGGAAGGGTCGATGGGGATCGAAGTCTGTAGATATCCAACTGGTTAGGGGGTTACCTGTACGTGTGCCCTCTTCCCCTCCCCTGGGTGTGCCCAGCAGGAGGAGGTAGGGACCCACTGGCAAGCCAGGGGTGAGTGCGAGAATGGGACCACGCTCGCCCCTGAGGATGGATACATTTGTGAGACAAGAACAGGGTAGGGTAAATGGCCACCAAATTATGATAAAAGATTACCCCACATTGTCTTCAGGATGTAAATATGAGAAATGAGGATTCAGTAGGTTCTCTGCTGCTCCTCCCCACCCCCATCCCCAGGCAAGAATAGAGATTTTGAGAGGTTCAGAGAGTTTCAGATTACCCTTACTGCTTTGTTAGTTTTAAAGCCAAAACAATACATAAGCATAGAATTACAAAAATTTACACTTGCTAGGGCTCTGAGCATTTCTTGAAAAGGGGTCAATAACAACATTACTGTGACCCTCTCCCTTGAGCCAGCAGTCCTTTCCAGAAGCCCATATAAAGTATTAAGCCTGCCCCACCATGTGCTGTTATGTAAGCAAAAGCAGATGACAGAGGTGTGTGGGTTTGTGAGGGTGTGTGTTGTATTTATGGGGGCGTGTGTGTGAATCACTGGGATCCCCATAGGCATTGCCTGGACAGGAAGCCCCAGGCACTAGGGCATGTGCTCTGTGTCTTAAGTGTTGGTTGGCTTCTAATGACTCAGAAACGGTCTTCTGGGTGAGGTTCTTGCTCCCGCATCCCTCGCGTGCATTTTGTTCGCTGTGCATTGAGGGAGTTTCCCACTTGACTTGCTCTTTTAGTTACTCACGTAGATCAGGATCAAATGAATCTTTCTCTTTATATTTTCTGGTTTCTAAAAATAGACAGGTGCTGGAGAGTGGGGTAGCTCTAGGGAGGTATGCTAGGACACGGGCAGTTCTACTTCCTAGTAATGATGGCCTGCCTGGCCCTTAGGGGAACAGGGACTACATTCAGCCTAATTTAGGAAGTGTAAGTTGGAGGGCAGTTGATTACATTAGGCACATTGTGGGTCTGGGCTCCTGAGCTGAGAAACTTTCCTGTGTTCCTGATATTCATCAGATTCCTCACTACACTAGGTAGGGCTGCAAAGCCCAAGTTTGCAAGGGAAATCATTTCAGCCTGCCTCTTGGCCGGGGTCATCCTCTGAATCTTTCTCTCGGGCCTGGGTACTGTATGAGTGGGACATGGCTTTCTGGATTGCACGCTCACACATGCATGCGTAAGTGTGTGCACACAAGTGTAGACTTGGACACAGCATTTTTTTTATAAAATAAAAATAATAATACTGCATTTGCCTTACAATCCATAGAGGTGGATCCCACTTTGTGAACATTTCCTTTTAAATAAAGCTTTTACAGTCTCCAATTCAGGGAACCACCTGGATCAGCATCACCTCAGGGGGCTGGTTAAAAATGCCTGCCACCCCAGACTTACAAAATCAGTCTGTGGGTGGGAATTTTCAACAGTCTCCTCAAGCAATATTCAAGCACATTAATATCTGAGGATTGCTGCCCTGTTTTTCCCCAAAGGCTAAGCAATTGATCTTTGAGCTCATAAACAGTGCCCAGCCAAACAAGGCCAGGTGGTCCCAAAGTCAGAGAAAGGAGAGTGAAAAGATAGGCGATTTCATCTAGCCCACATTTGTCCTGGGTAACCCTCAGAGGGTCTCCATTTTGATTACTATTATTATTTTTTTAAGAGTCATGGTGAATGGCCTCCCCACTCGCCATGGCAGCCATTCCTGCTTGATTCAGCTGTAGCTGGGGCCTTGACCATTTTGTTAGTGGGTTAGTAAGTGGTCTGTGAGGAAAGTACAACTCTGGCTGGAGTTGGGCATTGGCTCCTCAGGGAGGACCGCCCCACCCCACTCCCGGGGGCACCCGAGGACAGGGCCTGGTGGGAGTTTGTGGAGAGAGGTTGGGAATACCTCACAGGATGGAGCCTGAGTCAAGGGGTTCGGTTGGAGAGTGAAGTATGGATGCTTGTGTAAGGGGGGGTCGTCTGAGGTGGGGAAGAGGAGATGTGCAGGTAGGTAAAAAATATCTTTTGAAGAACATGGGTATTTGCAGAATGACACTTGACAGGAAAAAAGAAGGGGGCCTGGGGAGAGGGTGTGCGTGTGCGTGTGTGTAGGGGGGTCTCATCTGCTCCTTCTGTTGCTAAGGAACATATAAGCTAGATTTTAAAAATAAATGAGGAGTGGGTGGGCATATGCAGTGACTCCTGTCTTTTTAGGAACTAGAGCCCTTTACAAAAAGCCTTTAAATAACCATTTCTGGAGGCAGATTATTCATTTTGCTTGACTTTTACTTTGTTAAGTAAAATAAACTCCTTTATATACCCCTAGATTTCCCCTCATTATGTTTTCTTTCTTGGCTTTTTTGGGGGGGGATCCATTTTTCCCACGAGGAATTTTCCTTTATGTCAGATTCTGCTCCCCTAGAGCAAATAGTCTCTGTAGACTGTGAAGCTAAAGGTTTTAGAAGGCAGTGCAAGTGAGCTGGTACTTTTCTCTTAAAATTACTACTTCCTTTTTCTTTGCAAATTATGGTGCTGCAACATGATACATATGTGCCAACGACTATATAATGTGTAGGAACTGGTTTTTTTTTTTTTTTAACTGCTGTAAGAATTCCCATTTAAGTTAGTAAAAAAAAAAAGTCTTTCAGAAATACACAGGGGAGGGGAAGGAGAGGGTAGCTGACGTTTATTGTCTTCCGTGTACCAGGCACTGAAGTAACTATTTGTGCATATGCCATCCTATTTACCTGTCATGAGAGTCCTATGACGTGATTATGGTTATTTTTTTTTATAGACAATGAACTTGAGGTATAGAGCTTGGGTGTGAGGCAGACTGGAAACCCAGATCTGACTCTAAAGGGTTCTCTCTTTAGACCTAGACATTCATTTCAGGTTCGAAGTCTCTCCACAGACTTGTGTGGTGTGGAGTGTAAGTGTATGCATGTGCACGCACGCACGTGTGTGTGTGTGTGTGTGTGCAGTGTGATCTGTCTTTTCACCTTCTCTGTAATACGCCATGGGTCATCATTATATATTATCTCTTACGCTTGTTGGGTCGTATCACTTTGGCTATATAATTTTAAGGAATCCCTCCTTTATTTCAGAAATGAAAATGAATGTAAATGAATGATCACCAAAACATATATTAGTTTTGCTTCGTAGAGCAAAACCACCTACATGACACCTGCCATCATTATGAAGATACCCATGTTAGAGTTTTATATGCCTTTGAATAAAAATTGCACAGATGTTATGTAGGTGTACCTAGATCCAGTGAAGAACTGGCCTGTGTGTACCTCCTTGAGCAGCCCAAAATAAACGATGGGGCGTGATTTCACTGGTAAGAAGATGTTCAACTACCATTACTTCTAAGATGTTGATAGTATGCTTCAGCGTCTCTACTTTTACACCAGAATGGTACTGCCAAACCCTCCTTACAGGGACATTTTGGTATGAGATAGAAGGAGCCAGCAGGATGGATGAAAGTCCTTAGGTTAGACAACTCGGTAAAAAATGATTTATTATTCTTTGCAGGTTGATGATAAGAACATAGTATTTCCATTTTTGTTTTGTCCTTCAAAGCAAGATTATGTGATTATAAGGAAGACCAGTGGGATGTAGAAAGCCAAATAGGACTGCATGTGCCCTGTTTTTTTTTTTTTTTTTTTGCACAAGAATCAATTGTGTGTGGGGGAGCTTTGCTTCTCCTGGATATCAGTGTGCAGCATCCTCCTTTGTTAATCAATTTTATTTCTTTTATATTTTATACATTTGATCACTATTTAGAGGCTTCAGGATCAGATGAAAACTGGTTCTAATTTAATGTTTCCTTCCTCAATAATTACTTAGGACTTGGCTAAGTGTTGACTTCCTCAATCAGGACACCAACTAGGCAAGAATGCACTTGAACCATCGTCCAGAGTACTTAATCTGCTCTAGTTGATCTTCCAGAGGCTTGGTTTTTACCATGGGAGAGTGACAGCCTTGGACCGTGTGGCATCAGAAGGAGGAGGAGTTGAAGGGAGTTTTGCTGGTGTTCATTTCTGCTGTGGCAATGACAACATCGCCTCATAGGGGCAAATTAAATTAGAGTAGAGCTAGCTCTTTGGAACATTTCCCTCTCTAATATGAGAAAATGCGGAGTCCCAGTGAGGGCCCAGGCTGGCTACACCTTCCCTGTCCAGCTGTGCTGGGCTCTGGGATACACATCCTTCAGGCAACGCTGAGTTGTTCTTGGAGTGGGCTCAGAGGCATTCACTGCGTGAAACTGGAAGCATCTGGAAGGACCATTGCCTAGATGTTGACATGACATTTACTTTCTTACTTGGGTTTATGTTGATAACGCTGATCCTAATTACCTTTTCTGAGACCTTATAATTTTAGTTTTAGTTTATAGACCTTATAATT